CCCAACCCCTTACTTTTCTAACTGCGATCAATTTCTATGATATATTTAAATTGTTTTTATTAAAAATGAAATTTACTACATTTGATGAATAATTGTTGCCTATCATGAAAAAGTTGTAAAGTTTTAATTTTAAATTCATTTAGCAGAGGATCTCTCATTGATTGGCGCTCTAAAAAAAGTCGTTTTTTGCATCGAGAAACTGGCCAACAGATGGCGGCGCGTAGAATCTAAAATTTTAAATTGAGCACGTGTTTTTTTGTTTTGATGATTTTTAAAAAATCTGTTGAAGAAGATGGACATGGAAGAGCCTGTAAAGATGGACGAAACCGAAGAAGAAGAAGAAGAAATGGAAGTTGATCTCCAAAAAGAAAAACAACTGGCCATATACAGCAAGTTGGCCGATCAATCGTACATTGAAAATCTTGTGATGATTCGCAAAAAGAAAGCCAAGCTGCAGAAAGAAGTAGCGCTAACAAGTGATGCTGTCATGTCTCATCCGGAAGCTAATATCAACCGCCTAAAACGACTTTTCACTCTTTTGGATGCTTCAGTTTCTGACTCGGAATACGGAATCATCTTCTTTAACGTCCAACAAACGGCCGCTGAATCACTTTGCGTTATTTTTAACGACATTATTCCAAATTACAAGTAAGTTGTTTGGCACAAACAAATTGATTTTAACATGAGACATTTTCTATCAGACTCGCAGAACGGTTTAATTTTAATGAATCGGGAGCAGCAAACAGCAAACACCAACTTAAAAAGGGCACCATGAATACGTATCTTTATGAAAAGAGTGTTCTCCAGTACTACAAACTGTACATTCAACGACTCCAGCGAATGGTCTCGGCAGAACTGGACAACTCAAACAAGTACAACTTCTACAAAGTCATGCTCACCACTGGCAAAGCTCGTCGCAAGTTAGCCCTAGTTGCTTGTTTCTGCCTTTCAGAGCTACTTTCTCGCCACTACAACTTCAACTGTCGTTCTGAGGTGATCAGAAGCCTGGCACAGGTGCTGTGCAATACCAGCCGCGCTGATGACGAGATGCGAGAGATCTGCGGAAAGGCGTTCAACCGTCTTTTTAAGGAAGACACTCTTGGCGAGGCTTCACTGGAAGCGGTCAACATCATCAGCGAATTTATCGTAAAGCAAAACTTTCGCGTTTCACCCCATGTCTTTAGGACATTTCTTTCCTTAAACTTGCGCGAGTTGGCCAGTGACGAAAACAACAATGCGCCTAGTTTTGGGAAATCTGCCAAAAACTCTGCAGAACCGAAAAAGGATCGCAAAATGATGTCTCGCAAGGAGCGCAAAAGGGCGAAACATTTCAGCAAACTAGAAAAGGAACTACTGGAAGCGGAAGCAGAGGAGAGCACGGAGAAACGTCATTCGCACAAGACAGAGATTCACACTAAATTATTTGCTTTATACTTTCGGTTTGTCAAGCGATGCCTCGAGGTGAACTTGCTCGCTTCCGAGCAGGAGGTGCGTGACTTTGACCAGTGGTATCGGCCGCTCTTTCCGGCACTCTTCCATGGCATGGCACAGTATTCGGTCTTTCTCAATGACGTCTACATCTACGAACTGATCAATCATTTGCTGAAACTGATTCAGGGAGATAAGCTCAATGGGGACCATCAGGCGAAATGTCGGCTTTCTTCCACCGAGAGACTGTGCTGTCTGAAAACAATTTCACAGATCTTGACACTGTCGGGAAATCTGTTGACCATCGACTTCCAGGTGCCGTATATTATTCTCTATGAACTATGCACCGATCCAACGGTCATATACGAGTCAATGACTATGCTTCTCGAGTGTATTGACGAGATGATTCTCAAGCGATTTAAGCAGTTGTCTTTGAAGCGAGTTGTGTCGCTCGTTCAAAGGTTTGTACCATTTTTGTGTGTGTTTGTGTTCAATTTACTTATTTTAAGCACTTGTTTGCAGACTTATTCTGTTGTCGTTGTACCTGTCTGGCCCGGAAGCTGCCGCATTTCTGACCGTCATCAAGCGTCTCTTTCAGCAGCATCAAGGAGCAGCAGAGTCCATTTTTGACGACGAAGCATCTGAGCAGTGGCTCGGACTAGACCGTTTGCCAGAGTTTTTCCACAATCCCGAACTGGTGTCTACACGTGAGGCAAACTCAATGCTAAACTTTCACGTACTACTTCACCAGCATGCAGACCCATATGTGCGCTACCTTGCTTTCGCCATTTTGACGCACTTTTCTGATTCTTCGGGGCGAACAACGAACATTGCTGAAAATCGAACTCTAACCAAAAAGGCAAATGAGCTGAACTTGGTGGCTGATTTGTGTCATGAGCTGATTCGGGCGAACAATCCCTTGCATGTCTTTAACTTGCTTGATGTTGCCAGCAACAATCTTGCGTATGTGTTCCACAAGGCGCCAAGTAATTTAGCGCGCAGTAAGCTGGTCAATGGAAGTGCGGCTAAAACGAAAGCAAAATGAATGTACTAAACTGTCGAAAATTAAACTTTTATTGAGTTTTGTGAAATTAAATAAAAAAGTATCGTTTGTTTTTAGCATTTCTTAAAGATAGTGCCAGATTTATTTTTGTGCCAAACTTGAATTGAGGTTGCCAGTATTGGTGTCACTTGTGCAAAAAAGTTCAAAGGTAAAACTAAGGCCTTGCAGTGCTGAGAATTAGTAGAACATGCTAGAATTAGCCAAACGGGGAAGAGTTGTTTGTTTCAGACATAAATCTCATATTTTGCTGTGCCCACAGATAAGATTAAGGCCACTTGACGCCTACGGGTGTTTCTCAATACTACTGATTCGTAATTGGCAGAGCAGGATTCTGTAGTAAACAAATCTGAGTGATAAACAAACGGCCGATTATCGAAAAGGACTAGCTTGTTTTTAGGTCGAACGAGAAAAATCTGACTGATGTCCATTTAAGACTTTGCCTGACATGAAAAATGTACACCCTTTCAGGAAGTCTGATGCAGTTAAAATATCTGGTCATTGGGCATTGTTCATTTTTCGTAGCCTATTTGAGTGTTTACAGACACGTCTGCTTAGCCGTCGGTAAAAATAACAGGTAAATGATATTTACTCTTATTGTAGGCTGCGAAGAACGTGTGGGAGTTTAAAAAAGCAAAATGTCTGAACAATATAAGGCAGTGTTTTCCGTTTTGACAAAAATATTTACATTAGTAGTGTAATTACCTGAAAAGAAGGAATATTCTGCGAAAGTATTGCAGGTCAGCTTCCTTTTCCTGGCCTAGTAGGTGTCGCTTTATTTATTTGCCCACTACTGATGACCACAGGCAACAGACACTGGGGCACCCACACAACCGTTGGCAGTGGCAGTTTAATTCCGGATTAGCCCTCCTCGGCACATTCAACACTGGACCCGGTCACGAACGGTCACTGGTGAACGTCGATTTCACTTAACGGGCGCACTTTCTTAGCCATCTTAGCTTTTCTTCACTGTGCATCACCCGAAATGCACTTACTTTCACCTCATTTTGACTTTGAGGAAGCAAAAAGGCAAACTCAGACACTACAAATCGATGTTAGGAAGAGTATTGATAAACCAAGGGCAATGATCAGCATCGCGGCTTGTGGCAAAGATGTGACAACGGAAACAGCACTGGTTTCCTGGTGAGCATGAGGTGCATAGTGCTGGGGCAGTCTTTGCGTGGGTTGTGGTAAATTGGACTGCGCTTGGGGTGCTGGTTTGCGGTAGTGCAAGGTGAACAAATACTACAAAAACAATCGATTCACGGAGACTGCTGCTGCATTATTTAGTTTACCAGCATCACATTCCTTGTTCGTCGCTGCAATTGGGTAATCACGGCGTTGTGTAAATGCAGACAGACTGCACAATGTAAATGGGATGCAAATTGATTGTCTTTTTGCACTCTTTCCACTCATTTGAGCGATCGATTACAAGGAAATTTTGAGAATTAAAATTGACTGAGCCCACGCAATGCAAAATATCACCAGGACAGCCAGTTCAAAGTGCAATGCTCCATGGCTGTGGACCGACGGTCTGACACTCTTCAGTTGAATCGATACAGGTCAAAAACCCTAGGTGTGCGTTTCTTTCACTTAGCACATTATTAAAAAAATTGCATAATAAAATTCACAAAAATCACGTGTTTCCTATGAACTTTTGAGGAAAAAACTTTTAATGAAAAATTAATAATTTTAACAATTAGAGCAATAAAAACTAACTGTTTAATTGAACAAAAAATGATTGGTTTTCAAGTTACAAAAATGTATCTTAATATCGTTCATTCAGTTTATTGGGCAAAGCTTTTGCTCTCAATTGACTTGGCTCTTTTCATTGTGACATTTTTCCTAGCTGTTTGTGTGTGTGTGTGTGTGTGTGCTACCGCCTTTTTTGTCGAATGCGTGTGCTCGGAAGCAGTTCTCTTTTGGAATAGAATCACACAGTCAGCTGCGAATCAGTTCGAATTGAACCGGGAACAGACGGAATGAAATGAGGAGAGTGCACTTCTCTCTTTCTCTCTCCGACTGTGGTTTTCTGTGGGCGAACATCGCTCTCTGAACGGGGCGATGCTTCTGTGCCCTGTGCCCACTGCCAGCGCCGTCTGTTTATTTACCCATGGAATAGGTTTGGATCAAGCCGAATCGAATTGAGATCGCCATTCGCGGCTTCGGGTATAAAAGCCCCAAAAGCAGAGCCGCTAAACATCACTCGGCTGCCTAGCTCTGGTCCAAGTTTTTGCTTCCACACCAAAATCCCCTCACTTCCCCTTTCACCTTTAGTTGCTACCTAAATTGGCAACTGACAGTTTTTTAAGCAACCCATACTACCTTTATTCCCTATTTACCTCACACTTGTCGCTCTCTTTTCAAGTACATTTCTGTAAACTAGTCCGACCAAAGTTACGCTCCTAGCTGATCTGATTGTGATTTACATCCATTCTAGTCATTTCGCTCTAGTCATTCTCTTGACCTTTGTGATTTTCAATTTTGCTTACAATTTTTTTAACTTAAGACAATGCACCCTTCGACGATTATCTTTCTGCTAGTCAGTGGCATCAGTGCGCTCACTGCCGGTGCGCCCAGTTCTACTGTCGCCTTTCCTTCCGCACCCTATGCTGCCCTAGCGTCGCGCAAAGGCGTACATCATTCGGCGCCAGTGCGTCGTCTGCCAAGCGCCATGCCAAATGCCACGCCAATGAACATCTCCACGCTGATAAAGCGCTCTAATGTGACCAAACTGATGCCTGAGGAGCCAGTCAGAATCAGTACCACCTTTGTGGCACTGCTGTTGGAGCACATCAACGATTCTACTTTAATTCCATTTCAAGCTGCCGCTCGAGTGCCTCGATCCTCCAGTGGCAAACGCCAGCATTACTGTGGCAATGTCCTCAAGGAGGTTTTGCGGCTGATTTGTGACGGCAAGTACTACAGTGGGCATAACGGTAAGTGATGAGCAGTACCAGGACGGTGATGATAAATGATGATAACTGATGAATGAGATCAGTTAATATTAATCGACAATTAGCAAGTAAACTTACCATAATGTTATGCATATTGTCCATTCTGAACTCAGGAACTCGATCTCGACAGAGCTCGACACTGCTCAGCGCAGAGACGAACATCGCCATGGTGGAGACAGTTCCGGTGGGAGAGGCCGTGCCAGTGGCCAGTCCGCGAGAGGTCACCTCGTCACTGCTCGCTGATGACAGTGCTGCTGCTGCTGTTCACTCCTCCCACAAGGGTCCTCGCAAGAGTCGTCCAGTGCGCGGTGTGGTCGATGAGTGCTGTCGTAAGCCGTGCACTGTCACTGACCTTCGAATGTACTGCATGATCGACTGAGTCAGTTCATCTGTGCAGTTCTTTTTCTCGCATTAGCACCTCAGCGATTTTAGTCTCAACCAGAGCCAACAGCAGCATCTTTCCAAGCATACACACAGGCAGACAGTTTAGCTCGCACCTGACATGGATACGTGTTTTTTGGGTTTTACTCCTTTGGAGTTTCTCTAGTCATTTCCTCAACTTTTCTCAGTCCCCTTTGTCCTTTAGAGCCTTTTTTAGATTTTTTCAGCACTAAGTGACTGCACCCCACTCCGATCATCGGTATATTATTTATTAATATTTATTATCCATTTGTTTGTCACTGTTTGTATGTTTTAATTTTTTATCGCACACTTTGTCTACTCTACCTTGTTGACTACATTTGCTAAATAATAATAATAAAATACAAAAATTATGTGCAAACAAAACTGAGTTGAATGAAGCATCAAATAATCGGACAAATATTAAAAGCAACCTAATCGCTCTAATTCGGCCGTTCGCTTTCCCTTCTCACTCGCCCACGCATCAATCAATGATCTGAGCAGTGGTCAGCAAATTGAAAACAACAACACTAAACGGCTAAGAAAATTTTAAATTTAGGTTGGCACGAGCTACTGAATAAGGTGCAAGTACAAGTGGGCGTAAAAAATGATGACAGCACTAATGGTTGACTGAAAAATCAATAGCCTTTTCAAAGAAATAGCAAATTGAGAACAGTCTGGGTACTATGGCAAAGTAAAGGCTGACTAATCGGCAAACAACATTTGCCTATTTATCCGGAACTTTGCAACCCGGAATCAAAATTTAAAAAAGGGTCAACCACATAAAATAGAGCTTAGTAACTTTTAATCTGAAGCATTAACATTATAATTTTTTGGTTTTTAAAATGACATTAAACTATTGTTTTACATTTATTAAATTAATCGCACACGTATAACATTGTGAAAGTTTTCTTTATTTTTAATTTGCATAAGAATGCGCAAATTATAATTCTGTTTACTTCTTTGTTGTCCGGTTGGGTGTAATAAAGCCTCATTGTGAATTTTAGCAATTAACTTTGTCGCTTGGAAATCGATTTCACGACCATCAACGGTGCACGAAGGTTGTGAAAAACAAAGATAGCACCTTTGTCTACGGTGGCCGTCTATTCTTTCAGTTCTTCTGTAGCTGAAACAGTACTGGCCACTTTTGGCACCATCTTCTCAACCAAGTGCTAATGTTTCAGCCACTGAAACAAACAGCCCAGTGTTAATTATAGCAGTTGGCAAACACGTGCTTTTCTCTTTGATTGTCAAGTGCTTCTGTACACATTTGCCCAAGGTTAGAAACAAGAGAAGACTACAGGTAGTTGAGAAAAAGAGAAAAGAAAAGAGATTGAGAGGAGTAGAGATGAGGCCAAGTAAAGCTAAATATATAAAGATGTTAGAAGAGCAAAAAGGGTCGCCGGTACAGCAGAGCCATGTCTTCTCTGCTTTCTCTTTTTCTTCATCTCTGTATCTGGGGTTTTTGCTGCTCACCTTTTTCTCGACTAGTCCAAAAACAGTAGCGCCGGAGGACATGACAATCGACAGTGGAATGGTAGGGACGCAAAGGTAGTCGCTCAGACAGCACATCTGTGGCTGCTGCTAGCAGTGGTGATGCTCGTCGACCATGCTAGTCGCCCAGACTGATCAAGATCGAAGTGGGCTGATTAGCTGTCCAGCGGATGCAATGANAGAGAGAGAGAGAGAGAGAGAGAGAGAGAGAGAGAGAGAGAGAGAGAGAGAGAGAGAGAGAGAGAGAGAGAGGAGGGAGAGCAGCGCAGTGCGAAGCACAGCCATGCAACAGATTGCCTCTGTCTGAGTATGTGTCTTCAAGCACCAGTGCAAAGTGAAGCGACCGAGGTGACGCGCTTTAGGGCGCTACTCAAGGGCCATTAAATGTGCCTGCAGTCAGTTCAGAAAAAACAGAAAAAATAAGAAGAAAGAGTTCTGGAAAAATGAGCGTGCACAGTAAAAGTTACTTTTACTACATTTAAAAATTGACATTTTAACAGTAAAGTGAACGTCCACTGTGCGCTATCAGACGAGTGACCGCATTAGCAGTACTACTACTGGAAGCCGACACTTTTTTTCCTAGCGGATAGCAGCACACAGCAATGTGATGTGCTCACCTTGCTCGGCAGTGGTAATCACACTGACAGCGCTCTTTCAGTTGTGCTGTCCTCGATTTCACTGGCGCAGTAGCTCGAGCGCTCTGACTGGCGTGATTTAAATCATGAGCCGCAGTACAAAACAAAGCCAACAGCGGAGTACTTCAAACAAAAGCACTGCCCAGAAGAGTCGGCTTTGCAACGCTCCAAGATGGATTTAGAGGACATTCGGTGGATTGGGCAGTGGAAGAAAGGAAGGGAGGAGAAGGAGGACAGCGACGATTTGCTTAGCATACTGACTAGCGTAACATGTGAATACAGAAAAGTTAATTTACTTTCTGCACTTGGCGAAAAAGAGAAAAAACAAAGAAGGAAAAACAACATATTTCAGTGGCACTTCCTCGGTGGTGTTTAGTGCAGATACAGTAACGGTAAATAACGGTATAGTACAGTAATGATTTTAAAATTAGATTGGGGAAAAAAGGTGATTGTTTTAGTCATCCAAATGTAGGCAAAGTTAATAGTTTCTCAGCTATATAAATGTCGCAAAAAAAGACTGAACGGTATAAGTAAATTGATTTACCGACACTCGATTGATGCCGCATTCGATAAGACAAACAGGATAGAATTGAATTAACCGATGATTATTAGGCGGCGGTATCGATTAACAATGGGCTAGTTAATTGTGGCAGTAGATAAAAAAGAAATAATGTGAAAAAGCAGCGGAAACTAGCCATTGCTGTATGAAAAAGAAAAAGAAGAAAATAGACATAATCGACCAAACTCGTTGTGGTAATTATGTGAATATAAAAAAATCATCATCGTAGCAGCCACTGTTACTGCTGCAGATGACAGTGCAAATTAAAATGCCGACATTGTAGCGGGTACGCTGTTTGTATGCGGGCAGCCTGCTCTCTGTTTGCCTTATCAACGCTGACTAGTGTCTAAGAATAACCAAGCGCACATCAGGTCTGCAAACCCTTTGCTTTTCTTACGTCTCCCTGGCCAAGTCAGCCAATTGCTCCTCACGAAGTGCCTGTGTCCGATGTCAATCGGTCATTAGTGTGCAGTGGTGCCACGATCAGCAACAACAAGAAGATGGCTAGAGTATCACCCTAGAGGAGAGTGCCACATGGATGGCGTCTTAATTCAATCACGGCTCGGTACTGATGGTGATGGCACCTCTCCACCTCGCCACAATCGGTCCGGTTTTTCCGCTCACCGCTTTAATGGCCAATTGAACGATGCATCCGTTCAACTGTTTAGCATCCTTTCTTCACATTGTCCAGACTGGGGAACACTTTCTGTCACGCTGCAGACAGGTAGAAAAGGTGCACTGTCCACTGTCCAGTGGCGGACAGTAGGGCCACTGTCGTTGCCGGTAATAGTGAACTCCATTGAGGAAATCTGCTTTGTCAAGCACAAAGACAGCTATGCAATAGAGAGAAGGGGGAGTTGAAGATGAACAAGTGGTGTAATTATCGGTCGCCCGATGAATGAGTCACCGAGTTAATGTGTCTGCCGATTGGACACTTGAAGAAGGGTTGCACAGTGCACTCATTGGGCGCATCTGATAGGGACGTATGTCGCACTCTTGGGCGGCAAACCTCAACCGGACAAACCGAGTTTATCCGTGGCTGTCACTTTCAGTCCGTCGCACCTACCACTCCGTCTCTTTGAACTCTGACAGTTGTGCGAGTTAATGCCCCCTTTTCCTTCGTTGCACAATGATCCCCTAGCAGTGATGGAGCAGTCTAACACAGCTACAACAACAACAGCTGAAGCCGTCATCGTCGTTGGCTTCTTCGTTCTTTGCCTTTTGCGCGCGCGGTGTTTTGCCTTTGTATGCTGGCCAGGCACAGGCACTGACTCTTCCGAAGCAACAGTGCTCTGAGTCTCTTCAGTGCACTGGCACGGGCAAAGACTCTTCAACTTCAATTCGCTCTCTCCCGTCGGCGGCATCATCGTCGTCGCCGTCGTCTCCGCCGTCGTCGTCGTCGTCGTCAGCCTCGGCCGTCAGCCAATAACGAGTTTGGCTGTGCAGCTTCGACTGGCCGTTCTGCGCTCTAGCGCGGCGAGACTGACTCCTGAAGCTGAAGCGAAGTGAGATCACTTCAGACAGCTGCTGCACTAGATGTGCATGCACACACACTCCGACTTCGACTGCCAGCCACTTGCTTCGCTTGGTGTCACTTGCCCGTTGCCTGGTCTCACACTAGTTGCTCCCTCCGTCTCAGCGTCTCAGTCTCAGTCAGTCTCCTTCTTCTTCTTTGTTTGTGAATGTGTGCCCTATGACCGGAGGGCCTAGTGCAGAGGCCAGTGTTGCAAGGTGTGCAGTGGCTGAACAACGTGGCTGCACTACACTGCCTACACAAAGACTGCTCAACGTGAAGCCAAGTGCGCGACCAGTGCGACCAGCCACCGCCGTCAACAAACACACCGTTTACCCTGTTTGTTGTTGTCATCTGCTTCCCCTCATCTTCATCATCTTTTTCACATCCTTTGCGGTCCTCAGCATTATGTGACCCTAATCGGTGCCAACTTTGAGTGTTCCGAAACCAAATAAGAAGCACACTTGTGCATTCAACTCAAAACTGTCTGGCCTTCACTGTTTCTGCAGTTGTGCTATTTGCCCATCGTCTCAGCAGTGTGTTCCACAGCACTGGATGTGCTCCACTCTTGCGGCCAGTAGTGCCTCTTGGCCTTTGTGCCACTGTGCTCACTATGCTGGCAATCAATTGAAAAAGCCACATTGCAACAAGTATTGTGAATCTCATCAGCAGATTTAGTTCTTACTATACCATCTCGCCATTTCCTGCCAACATATCTGTGATATTTTCCAGCATTTATCGCCCCCACCAGTATCAATTGAAGTATTTACACAGTTCAACGTAATTTTCACGTTTTAATCTTTATTGCTACCTGTTTCAACCACTTGTTTTCCGTTTATCGCCACACATTTTCACACGAATCACGTCGATCAAAAGTCGAAAGTAGCTATTGTCTCGTTTACCTTTCACCGGCGCCTTCTCGGTCCTCTTGACTCTTGACTCTCCGCCTCTCCAGTGGCCTTTGTTTCAGAGCATTTCCCAGTGTCGGGCGACAATGGCCATCAGTGGCGCGTAGTAGCCCGTCGAATGGCTTAATTTCTCTTTCTCTTTCCCGATCTGCTGCTCTTTGCTCCTCGGACAGTTATCAATCGCCAGCAGTGTTCAGCCCAGCGAGTGATCAATCGATTCGACTCGGCGGCAGTGTCGCCCGACAGTCGTTTCTCTCCTTTCAAAGCTGTTCATTGCTGCTCATAAACGCCGGGCGCCATGGCTTTCGTCCCGAGCCGTCCGTGTGCCGCACACAGTCCAAGTCATTTGCTTCGATTGCCGTTGTTGGTGCGCCGAACGACCGACCGACCGAGCAGGCTACTACTACTCGTCGCCGGCAAGCGAGCATTGGGCAAAGCTCAGCCAAGCGACAGCCACTGCCACTGCTCAATCTGTGTCAATGTTCTAATTACAGGTGCCCGACAGACCAGCTGAGTGCCTGTCAGTCTGCTTAACCGTTTTGTCAAATCAAAACACACCGCACATACACACACCAGTGTTCAGTCTTGACTTGGCGTCTGTCAGTTGCAGTCTTTAGATCATCGTGACAGTGAGCTCAGTGGCCAACAGTGATTGGAAAAGGGAGAGGGGAGGGAGGGAGGGAAGGGGCACATCAAGTGCTCATTTAGTTAGGCGTGCGCGCCAATGACTCTGACGCCCGGTGTGTTCGCTTAGTGCTGCCGGTGCAATCAGCGTAAAGACGACCAAATTAGTCAGTGCAGAGAACAGAGAGGCAAATTAAGTGAAGTTTGGTGATTGACTTGCTGTGCACTTGCTGGTTGGCCAATTGACTGCTATTGAAAATGAAAAAGAGAGTACTCTGGTGTCTTGAACCGATCAGATGACACTTGTTTGCCTCCGCTCTCCGCTGTGACATGTTCTGCAAGTGCGCAATTACTTGTTGAGCTTTGACTAGCAAAGTGCTAAATCACTGGAGAAAGCTAAAAATATCGTATTGGTTCCTGCTAAAGACACCAGAGCTGGTGCTAATCGACAGTGAAAATGCACACAGCATTCCAGGAGCCTGGTGGCAGATCTGGCAATTGGTCATAATTAACGACTTTGAAGGCAAGCAAATGTGTAGCTCTGGAGTTGGCAAAGCTTTTTGACCGACTAACTGTTCCGGCTCATAAAAAGGAAAAATGCCAATTACTGAAGGAGTGAGCAACTGAAAAGAGACGTTTCACTGTGAGGAGCAGTCAATCGGCAACTGCAGCAGTGTCAACTAGCTCAACAAACTTAACAATAAAAGTGCTTCTAAGTTATGTAAATGCCGTCTCATTGCATTGATGAGCAAGTTTTTTCGTGATGAAGGAATTTTTTAGCTATTAAAGGGAAACAGACCAGATCATGAGCAGAAAGTGGAAACGCTTCACATTGATAAGTGATTGCTGTTGCATTTGCCGTTTTCAGCAGATTAGTCATTCTGTTTATAGAAATGATGATTTAAACAGTGCTGGGTGCATTGACTTTTAACAGAAAATGAATTTTTGCATTTCAAATGAATTCCTCACAATCTAATGAACTTAAATTTGATTTACTTTTCAGGTCAACTATCCCACGACTCTTTGTCACCAGCTGCCATGCTCAACTTTTTTCCGTTAATTAAAAATTATCTTCATTAGAAGAGTACACTAACAGTGAAACTGGAGTCGACATCGAAAAGCACTATTCAGTGACAATAGTGCACACTTGGAGTTTAGCTCGCCCACCAAATTGCAACAATGGCGCCCACCACTAGTTTAGATGGTGGTGCTGCTGTTGGTCAGAGGAAGACAAAGTCCTCAGCACAGCCACCGCCACCATCAACGCTGTCGTCTCGAGTGATTGCTTTTTGGCATGATCGTTGTTGCAGTGAAAGGACAGCATGTTTACGGTCTTCCAAAAGGGACCCAACATTTCGCCAACACCACAAAAGTGGCACCTGTTCTGTCACCTCATCATCATCATCTTTATCATCCTCCTCTTCATCATCCTCCTCTTCATCCACAGCTCATCCCAGTGATTTGTCTCATCAGCGAGCTATTCTTCATTTCCTGTACACAACCATTCTCGTGCCAGCACTGTTCACCTTTCTCTGCCAATCACTGCCACATGTAGGCGGTAATTTTGGTAAGCATCCACCTTTGATGCACTGACGCCGCTGTGTTCAGATATGGCATGGTTGCCACTGCCACTGCCAACTGCATCACACTGGCGCCATGTCCACTTTCTTTCCCATGAGATCGCACCTGATGACACTGACACTCTCCGTGCTGACTCACTCACTGCAGCAGTGGATGTCATTTGCCCACCCACTCTCGTTGCTGTCGCCGTTCTTTTCGCCCTTCTCTCACGCATCTCCAACTTTTACATACTCAGCATAAGCGAATTATGTCCTCACTGCAGGCTCATACATATTTTGGCTAGCTGAAAGAGTCCCTCTCCCTCTCTCCCCTTTCCTTCTTTTGATCGGTGCAGTGAACCACGAGGGAATGCCTTCGGCGAGACAGTTTCCAAAAAACTATCGGTACCAGGAAAGCGCCATTGAAGCAATAGTATAGAAAGAAAGTTTTGCAGAATTTGGCAGAATCGTGTTATTAACCGCTGACCTTATCATCACTGACTACTCATTTCAGTGTTTTTGGTCTATATTTTGCGTGGGCATCAAATGAATTGATAATTATCATTGACAGTCAAAAGATGAACATTATTGATGAAGCACCTTGATTAATGCGACCTTGAATGTGCAAAGATAATTCTAGAATGTGCAAGTTTCAGATAACTAATTGCTGAGAAACATTTTCTAAAAAAAAATTCAGTTTTTCATCAAGTTTAAATAACGGAGACAATGCATCAATTTGAATAGTCATTAAAACAATTTTAATCTAGACTAGTTTTGCAGTGTAGTAAAAAATAAAACTGATCTAATGTAAATGTAAACAGAACTAAATTTCATTCAAGGAAACGCAAAGTGATTCCGCAATGTTTTTCTCTTCCGCACAATCATTTTTAGAACCCGTATGTTTAAGTTTTTTGACTTTTCAACTTTGCTTTTCAGGCATTTTTAGTGCGTTTTATCGTAAAAAATTGAATCTATTTATTTCTCTACATTACTACGAATCGCTAATGGAACTAATTATGCGATCTGATTTTACCGGTTGATTTCTTTTTTGCTCTATTGCAGTATCAATAGCCACAGTAGCCGGTAACCACTGGTTTCTGCCTGCGTAGAGCGCTATATTTATGAATGACAATGAAAAACAATGGTTCCAGTAGGTTTCGTTAACAGAATTGTGTCAGACTTGTGCAGACAAAAGCCGCACATGATCGAATAAGATTTAGTTCTCCGCAGGGACTTGGACTTGGAATGCAATGCAGCACTGATCCAGAAATACGTCAACAACTTGTGATAGCTTTGTGCAATCCAACTCATGTTCAGGTGGCGTAATATTGTGTAAATTTTAGATGATTTAATTATTTTTGTAAAAAGAAATTCAGTAACCTATACTTTAAACCCAGAATTAGACTGAACAAACAATGTTTTCAATACAGTCTAGTCACAAAAAAAAATTTAAATGATTTTATCAATTGATTTGTTTATAAATGGCTGTCTGAGAGCAAAGTGCAGTGTAATTGGCATTTCTAATGCTTCACTTCTTCTGAGATGTTTACAGTAGACGCAGGGTCAATGCTTCTAGAAAACACCAGTTATCACCGTGTTGACAGTCTGGAGTCTAGACAGAGTTGTAGTACCTGGCTCGACCGGAGATCATTACTAATACACTTTTGTTTGCTTTTCTCTTCCTCCTCCTTTTCCTCTAGTGGACTTGCCCATCACTGACCTCAGCGTGCAAATCATCTCTGGAAAGCAAGTGGAAATCAGCTGGAAACTGCCGCCACCGTCGGTACTGCTGGACGGCTACAAGCTGTACCTGAGTCCAGTCTCCGTACACGACTCCAGACCGTATCACATTGACATTGGCCTCGCCGACCCGATGCCCATTTCCATTCGCAATCTGACCGCAGGTGGCACCTACGAGGTGAAACTGCACACCATGTACCGAGGCGCCCAGTCGACGCACTTTGTCAGCACCAACTTCACCACCAAGCCCAACACCCCGGGGCGGTTCATTGTGTGGTTTCGCAATGAGACCACCCTGCTGGTCCTCTGGCAGCCGCCCTACCCTGCGGGCACCTTTGACCAGTACAAGGTGAGCATCTACCCGCAGGATGCCCACCAGTCGGTGCTCTTTGTGCGCAAGGACACTGACCCGCCGGGGCCGGCGCAGACCTCATTCGACGGCCTCATACCGGGTCGGGCGTACAACATCACCGTGCAAACGGTGTCTCGAGATGAAATCTCCGACCCGACCGAGGCGCAGTACCGGACAGTGCCACTGCCGCCGGCCAATGTCAACTTTAACCGGGGGACCATCTCTACGCACTCCTTTGACGTCATCTGGGACCCGCCGTCGTCCTTTAGCGAGTTTGACCGATATCAAATTCAAATTGGCGTCAAAAACTCCTCCCCAAAGACGGTCTTTAAGGATGAGCCCCGTTTGATGCACTTTGACGATGAGACAGAGATTGAGCCCGGCGAAACGTACGAAGTGACGGTGAAGACCGTCTCGGGCAATGTCATTTCAGTGCCCCTCAGCTCGAACATTACCACTCGGCCAATGCCAGTGATGGATCTCGTGTCGGAGCCGGGCAAGTTTGGCGGCGACATTTACCTTCACTGGAGGCCGAGCAATGCCAGCAAACAGGACTCCTACATAATCACCTACCACGAGCTTGAGGCTTTCAACTCTGACGCCTCCATTCAGGTGGTCAAGGACAGTCACGTGAATCTGTCGAACCTGCTCGCCGGTCGCAACTACTCTATCTCAGTTGCGGCCATCTCTAACAACGTCTACTCGGAGAACGTGGTCATTTACCAGCCGACGAAGCCGGCCTCGCCGGTGATTGGCGTTCTGGAGCCAATCGCCGGTCGTACGCTGAACATTTCCTGGAAGTGGGACGTCACCTCTAAGCAGGACTCGTACAAGATTGAGTGGACGCGCAATGACACTAAGGAGAAGAAGGAGCGCATCGTCAAGAGCAACTGGCTGATCGTCGACGACCTGTACCCAGGCGCCGTCTACGAGATCTCCGTCAGCGCCCTCTCGCACAACCTCATCTCCGATCCGCACTCCTACTTCCAGACCATCTTTCCGCTGCCACCCGACGGCCTGCACGTCTCCAAGGTGACCAACTCGAGCATGACGCTGACCTGGTCGGCGCCCACCGACTCCCTGGTAGACCACTACATTGCTCGCTACCGACCGACACGGCAGACCAAGTGGCGAGAGCTGGGCATTGTCAACTCGACGACGCTCGATATTAAGAACCTCGTTGCCGGTGAAATGTACACCGTTCGCGTCAACTCGGTGTCCAATCGAGCCGAAAGTCCCGACATTAGGGAGGTTGAGCAGACACTCTTCCCTAATCCAATCTCCAATATCAAGACCAACATTGACTCGCACAATATCACCTTTCAGTGGCATCCTCCTGAGGGCGTCATTGATCACTTTAATGTCATTTTCAACCCGGTGAATCAGCCAAAACTGCAGGAGTCTAAACGAGTGCCATATTCCAACACGACTCGGCCTGAGGAGCAAATTGTCGTCTTTATTAACGACTTGAAACCCGGCGAAGAATATTCTTTTCGTTTTTTTGTCATCAGTTTTAAGCTGAGAAGCGAAGGCATCGGCGTGCAGATTCGGACAAGTAAGCATAGTTGTTTTGAGTATTTATTTTGGTATTAACACTTGTGCATTCTACAGTTCCCGTCATTGACTCAGTCATCAACGTCATCGTGGGCGAGCACGAGACGAAAACCATGGGCATCAAGTACACGCCGACGCCCATTAGAAACGTCGTTTTTGACAAGTACCGCTTTCAGCTGTCGGGCACGCAGATTCCGCAGCAGGAAAAGATGTGGAACGACACAAATCGCTTTGTAGTCTTTGACAACCTCGTGCCGGGACACCTGTACAACTTGAGCATCTGGACGATTAGCGGCGCGACCAGCTCGGTGCCCATTCAGCGACAGGCTCGTCTGTATCCGGAGCCGGTGAAGAACATCAACGGCCTCTCCATCACCGACTCGGAGATTACGCTCAGCTGGGACGCGCCGTACGGCGACAAGGACGGCTACGAGGTGCAGTACTTTGATCCGCACGAGAAAACGCTAGTCGTCAATGTGACGCTGGTGGAGAAGATCGAGTACCGCAATCTGCGTCCGCACAACAACTACACCTTCATCGTGACGACGTTGTCGGGCTACGGCACCTCCACCATGCTGCGCTCGACGCCCGTCTCGCAGACCTTTCTCACGCTGGAATCGATTCCCGGCAAGGTGAGCTACTTCCAGTCGGTGGACGTCAAGCCGAATGAGATCACGCTGCAGTGGGCACTGCCGCAGTCGGAGATGAACGGCATCCTCACCGGCTACAAGATTCTCTACTACATCAAGGGCAACCAGGTGACCAAGCACCAGCTGTTTGAGCCGTACGAGACGCAGGGCACCATCTACAATCTCATTCCCGGGAAGACGTACGTCTTTCAGATTCAGGCGCACACCAAGGTGGGCCCGGGGCACACGGCGATGTGGGAGGAAACGATGCCCATCTGGTCGGCGCCACCGCCCGCCGACAATATCTTTCCCACCGAGGTGGGCCACACCTCGACCACCATTCGCATTCGCTTCCGCAAGAACTACTTCAGCAGCATGTACGGGTCAATCAACTCGTATGCAGTCATTGTGGCCGAGGATGACTCTATCAACTCGAACCTCCTCGACCTGGCGTCGTGGTACGACGTTCAGGACTACTCAGTGTGGCCGCCGTACCAGGCGACGGAGCCCTTTTACCCGTTCAATAATTCAGGCATTGAGGACTTGACTCTCGGCTCGGAGGACTGTGAGGAGGTGGCCAAGCAGGCAAAGACGACCACTCTGGCGCCCACCAGCACACATGGCCACGGTCACCACCACCACGGACCTCGCTACTGCAATGGGCCGCTGAAGCCTGGATCAACGTTCAAAATTAAAATTCGTGCTTTCACAACCAATGAAAAGTTCACCGACACTGTCTACTCGTACGCAATGACAACTGACCCTGACCACACTGCGATATACCTCTCCATTTTTGCGCCCTTTTCCTTTATCGTTTTGATTCTCGTTATCTTCATTTACCTCCGCCACAACCGACTGGGGCCGTTCGGCAAGCTTGGCAAGCTTTCTTCAAGCACCAAGAGTCCTCATCCAGCCAGCTCAATTCACGATGGAGACACTCTCTCGATAATGGCGGCAGATTTAATTACCAATCGGCCCATTGGCTTGAAAAACTTTGCCGACCACTTTAGACTAATGTCGGCAGATTCTGATTTTCGGTTCAGTGAAGAGTTTGAGTTGCTCAAGGTGGTCGGTCGTGACAAGCCATGCGACGCTGCCGAGCTGTCTGAGAACCGTCCCAAGAATCGCTTCACAAACATTCTGCCTTACGACCACTCGCGAGTGAAGCTGCTGCCCACGGACGACGAAGAGGGCTCAGACTACATCAATGCCAACTATGTGCCAGGGCACAACAGCCCAAGAGAGTTCATCGTGACGCAGGGCCCGCTGCACAGCACACGCGACGACTTTTGGAGAATGTGCTGGGAGCAAAACTCTCGCGCCATTGTCATGCTGACTCGGTGCATTGAAAAGGGCAGGGAAAAGTGTGACCACTACTGGCCATACGACACGCAGCCGGTCTTTTACGGCAACATTCAAGTGACGATACTTAACGAGTCGCAGTACCAGGACTGGACTATATCAGAGTTTAAAGTGATGCGGGTAAGTGATGCAGAAGTGTGCACGTTGAGGCAGCTAATAACTATATCCTTTCACACCAATAGGGCGACCAATATCGCATCGTGAGGCACTTTCACTTTACCACCTGGCCTGACTTTGGCGTTCCAGAGCCACCCTCGACGCTGGTCAAGTTTGTTCGGGCGTTTCGAGAGCGCTGCACCCCCGACAACAACAAGCCCATCATTGTGCACTGCTCTGCCGGAGTGGGCCGATCGGGCACCTTTATAGCCCTGGACCGACTGCTGCAGCACATCATCAAGTACGACACAGTCGACATTTTCGGCATAGTGCACGAGATGCGCAAGGAGCGAGTGTGGATGGTGCAGAATGAGGTGAGAGCTACATTCTTAGGTAAAGGCAAGACATTACTCACAAAACTCTTTTTTTATTCCCTAGCAACAATACATTTGCATTCACGATTGTCTACTTAGCGTGATTGAAGGTCGTGAAGACGTGCTCGACTCGCTCACCCGTCTCGATCACATGTCACTGCACGACAATCCCGGATACGAAGGTACGTCTTGAGCTTGACTGAGTGCTGTGTATTGACTATGCTTGGCTTGACTTGTAGTTTACAAGTAAAATGCTTGTTTACCTCTGCTGTGATTGTGCTTGTGTCTGTGTGTCCTCTAATGCAGTTTTAGCTGCTCTTTCCGCTTTTAGCAATAGTTATAAAACGTAAATTAACTCTCCTGCCTAACTAACACCTCTGTGACCACAGCTAAAACTGTGCTAACATTTAACCTACAGCTTTTCTAGTCTGTTCCGCAGTCTGCTAACTACCGATTAACTAAACTTTAGCCTACTGACACCTATTTCACCTCTTTCAAGGTACCAGTTTGTCGCCCTCTGTTAAAGAGTCTAGTCTCCTCTGACAGGCAACTTGGAGGACCAGGAAGACCTCCACCACTGAGCAGTAGTATTTGAACATGAACCAAGACCTCATAATCGTCAGCCAGTCTCTCAAAAAGCCAAAGCCATTGAGCAACACTTGGCCCTTTCTTTAATGTTGTACATTTCTTCCTTTTCCAAATAGATGACGAAGGCATCGCCGAGTCGGGAATTTAATCTTCCTTTTACCACCAGCTCAATTTTAGTCTGACTGATTCTCCCACCTGTACACTAACCACCTTTTTTATTATTTATTGAAATATTTATTGTCTTTTTTACTGTTTTTTGTTTTACATTTTTTTCTGTATTAAAATATGCTTATACATTTTGCATTCATGCATAGTTGTCATGGACAAGACAAGTGGTGCTTTGTCTTATTCTCTTCCACACACACCACAAAATCGAAGACCAGATGACGAATCACAAATTAGCAACAACACACAACAAATTCCATCCTTTAAAATCTTTTATAATTACGTTTTAAAAAAGATGGTGTTTTGGGAATTTGTAATAAGGTATTCAGATTATTTTAAATTGTGTATATCGAAAGACGACAGCAAGAACAACTTGGCTCTTTGTCTTGCAAGACGGCACTGTGACTTGAGACTGCAACACAGGTCTCTACATCATGTTCCAGTTGGTAATGGCCAGTTGCGAATGTGATTCCAGCAGGTGGACGATCTGTTCGGGAATGCCATGACGGAACCACAGTTTGTAGAGGTTCTCGTAACCAGTTTCGGAAAGAAAGAGAGGGTCGCCGCGAATCAAACCTTGATCAGTTTCGCCGTACTTGTCGACATATGGCGAGGCCAAGTAGCATCCTGAAAACAGCACAATTTGTTACACAAGGCAAAACACACCCGCACAGAAGGACTCCTTACCTCTGCCTCGCGTCGACAGCAACAGTATTTTACAGTCCCGAATGCGCAAGAATATTCCCGTTCCAGCGCCACAAAACTGAGCGTGATAGGTGCAGGCGCCAATCATCTCGTTTTTGAGTCGCTTCTGACAGCAGTAGTTTTGAGAGCAGAGAATCTCACCGCAGACAAGGCACATGGTCGGGAAGCGCGACTCTTCCGCTTTGGAGCTGGGACAGGTGAACTTGGCAAGCGAGTTGATGAGATCACTGTAATCATGCGGCAACGGTTGAAGTGTGTTCACCCGATGAGGTTGAACTACATGAGCGAATTCCGCCTTGAGCGTCGTTCGAGAGGGCGACTGCTGGCTGCCACTCTCACTGGCAAACATGTTGCCAATACGAGAATGCCGGGGCCAGAAGAGAGCCACACCGCGCAAATAAGTGATGCCAAGAACGGAAAAGTTGCTGGGAACTCCGAGATAGTGACATAGTTCGTCGTACTCTTCCGACTGAGAAATCACAGTTGTAGACTTTGAGTTGGTGGTTGACTTGCTGGCTGACTGCCCCGCAAGGAGTCGTTTGGGCAGCGCGACGTCAGTTAGAAAGTGTGCAAAGACGGCCACACAGCGCAAAAAGGGCAACATCTTGGAGCGAATCAGGGCTGTCAAACGAGCTGGGTTGGCGGTAATTGCAGCGGAAGTAAAGTGGTGACCAGCTGCAGTGAGCACGTCAATGATGAAGGGAATCAGATTCTGGTCTCCTGAACTAGGCGATGAACTAGCTGTCCAACCACCATCGTCCACGTCCATGGGCTCCTGGCCAGTCGGCGGCTCGTGAAAGGAGTTGGCATTCGTCAATATTATCTACAAGAAATGCACAAGTTTTACTAGCACAGAGATGAATAAATGCCTAGTTACCTGAACCAAGTGAAAGGTAAACATGAGCTCAATTAGATTCTTGTCCACTGAGTTTCCCAGCACCACAGTAAACTTGTCAGCATCGCCCGAGTCCTGTTCTTGGCTGAAGAGCGACTGGGAGGTGCTCAGCAGCGAGACCAGCAGAGAGAAGGCGTCCACGTCGAGGATAGAAAAGGGGCTCGACTGGTAGAAGGCCTGCACGAGTAGGTAGTTGGAAAGAAAGAGAAACTGCTTCCTCGGCACTGAATACGAGTAGGTGCACGTCTGACTGCGAATCATTGCAATGAGTGCTTTCATGCAGTGGTACGACCGATTGTCAATCATGTCCGAGTAGCAGGTCCTCCCAGTGCGAAGCAGCCGCTCAATGGTGTGAATTGAGTAGGCCACTGACCAGCAAATGGACTGCATTGCGTCAGGCACGTCAGGAATCAATGCTTCCTCCTGATGCCTGCCAAATATTCTCTAAAAGAAGTATTAGTACGAGTTCTCGCTCAAACAAACCCGCAAGACTTACAGCATATGCAGTCTTGGTGCATTCAACGACCAGCCGCTTTCGGGGACAACCTTCAACGTCCGGCTGTGTGTTTGACATGTACTCGGTATGCAAGTCTTGAAAGTACTGCCGAATGTCAAATGGCAGTAACTGTATGAGTTCAATAAAGGGCTTCTTGTGTCCAGAATAGGTTTCTAATAATAGCAAAAATGGTTTAAACTAACAACCTCTTGTTTGAAAATTGTCCTGAAAAGACTTACCACTGTATTTGCGTGAATCCAGCCAACCTGAGCTGCCATCACATCCTGACTCGGTGACAATCGAGTGCAGTCCACTGAGAAACTTTTCCATGGGAATATCCGTCTTGATGGAGTTGGGCTTGATGGACACTCTCGGCATGATGGGAATAGCAATGTTGCACAGACACTCGCACAGAGGACAGAGAAACTCGCCCTTGCTGATGTCGTAGCCCAGGCGAGGATGACGACCATTGACACGACGTCTCTCCTGGTTCTCGATCATGTTCAGGTACTTCGTAAAGCAGTCACTGTGCATGTAGTGCGTGCAGGTGTTCACATGAGGCCCATAGTTCAGATCCGACTCGACAAAGAGCAGGTTGCCCTCTGCGTCCTTCACGGTGAAGGGCATCTTTGAGGCTCTTGCACCGCCCATAATCCAGGACTTGTGACTGCGGTTCTGCGACAGGACGGTGGACTTCTGAAAGAACGCACCCAGCACCAGAAAGCGGTCATTTGAGTTAATGTTGTGCTGTTCCAGGCAGAGGATGCAGGTGGAGAAGTCCGTCTCCACGAAAGAGGCAGTGGAGCTCAAACGAGGGTCCTGGTTGACGCCAATGGCAACACCGCTTGTGGCCGGAGAAGGAGTGCTCACATCCATCATTGAATCAGCTTTGCCAGACTCGGTGGTCTTGCCACTCGCTTCAGCGCCCTCCTTGAAGTACTCTGAATTCTCATCCATGAACGTCTTCTGCATGGCGTTCATTTGCTCCAAAATTCGATTCTTGCGGGCATTTGCCATTTCGCGCCGTTTGGCCTTTCTCGCTTCCTCTTCCCTTTGCTGTTCGCTGCTAGGCAAAACAGGGGCAGCAGTGGGCTCTGCAGCAGCAGAAGCAACAGCAGCAGAAACAACAGCAGCAGTGTCCATCGGCTGATCACTTTGAGCAGGCGACTGAAACACAGCGGTAAACTTGTCAAAGAGCCAAGTGAGCATATCCTTGTGCATTTCAATGCGCGGCAAAATGTGTCGAGAGTTGCATCGTTCGAGAAGCTCCACGATGCCATAGTCGATGCACTTGGCGGAAAACTTGAACTCTGTGGGGCGTTTTTCCTCCTCCTGCAAGGCAATGCCGCAAATGTACAGCACTTGCTGAAACTGAGTCTCCGAAAAAAGGTTGTCATTCAAATCGCAGGTTTTCTCGAGAATGGTCTTCACCAGGGACAGCAGGACGTCAGAGATCAGCAGATTGTTGATTGCCTTGAAGGAAGGCACCCAGTCGGGCAGCCGCGGCGGAGGGCAGCAAATGTACTTGGCCTTGCTGCTCCTCAGACGGCCCAGTTGCGCCTCAATAGAGGTCGACTGATCAGTGCGGTTGTAGTGGTAAAAGAAGGGATTAAAGTCCTTGTAGTGCTTCTCCTTGAGTACGTATTTCCCGTGCTTCATCGGATTGGCAGAGCGCACAAAGTCGGCCACCTCCAGAATCAGCTCCTCGACATTCACCTCAGCATCCTCCGAGCTGAGGTGGCTTTGGAGGTCAGAGTTGGACATCGATTCCTTGCACAGCCACTGGATGGCCTCCTGTTTGATGCACTCGTTGAGGGTGACTGCACCCAGACCCGGCACGTAGCGCTCCACGAGAATCATGTAAAAGAGGCGGAAGAACTCCTCAATGACGGTGTTCGTCTGTCGAATCATCTCATCATTGGTCGGTCGCTTGTGCAGACTTCCCTCGTCGACCAGGAACATCAGGTTGAACTTGTTCAGCATGTGAATCAAAAACTCATTGGCGTCCATCAGCGAGGCGCCCACCTGCAGCAGCACCAGGTCACGGTCAAACATCTCCTCGCGCAGGCGGACGTTGAAGTAGAAGAGCACCTGGTTGATCAGCGAGTAGCCGTTTCGGCGCCACATTCCCGCGCGAAACTGGCTCACCATGACCAGCGTTCGCAGCGGCAGCTCAATGAGGCACTCGGGAGCGGGGCGGTCGGTGGGCAGGCGCGCGTCCTCCACGTAGTGGACGCCAAACTTGTGCGAGTGCACCAGCAGGCCGCCGATGAAGCGAATCAGCGGCATGTGAATGGACACCTCCCGCCGACTGACGTCGTAGTCCCAGCAGTAGGCAGAGTGGCCGACGGCGTGCTGCTGAATCTGGCGAGTGCTGCGATTGCTGCTGCTGAAGGAGTAGCGAAACCACTCGAGGGCAGAGCGCAGCGCACCCAGGTACACCTTCTCATCGGAGATGCACCAGTCGATCATGGACTTGCTGAGGGGCGCCAGCTTCATCTGCAGGCTGATGCCCGTCTCCCAGCCGGGCTCGTACTCGATGTGCTGGTTCACCTGGCGCACAATCGAGTCCATTAGCTGCACTCGCTTGATCAGCTTGACAAACGCCTCGACGCCGGCACCAAAGGCCTGGCGCAGCCGGTCGTTCCACGCCTGAGGGGGCTTGGCGAGAATGTACGACACGTCGCCCAGTATCTGGAAGCTGCGTCGAAAGGGCACCAGCTGATTCTGGTGAATGTCAAACTTAAACTTGCCAGTTGCCACGTGAAAGCGCTGGTTCACCTCGATAAAGGCGTTCAGCAGTAGCTCAATGACATTCTCCTGCTCCACCAGCCAGTGCACAATCGACGGCACGGTGAAGATTTGCACCGAGAGGCAGAGGATGGACACCCGGTGCTCGTGATCGTCCTTCATGTAGTCCTTGATGCAGGAAACGTAGTTGCGTGTGAACAGCCGAGAATACTGCCGCTTCGTTTCCATCTCCAGCAGCAGGCCAGACATGAAGAGCTGGTGCCAGAGGACGCGAATAGACTTCCAGAAAAAGGTGTCAGAGAGCATGAGCTTCTCCACGAGCGAAACGGCCACCACATCGTCGTTGACAAAGCGAATAATCTCAGAGAAGTGCTTGCTCTTGAAGAGGTGACTTGCAAAAATGGTGCGAAATTGCTCGCAAATGGGCAAAATTGAGGACATCCAGTTGATGAGGCGAATGGCAAAGGTCTGGTGGGCAAAGACGTCCGCATGACAAACTTTCACCTCCAGCTTCTTGTCCGAGCTCTTTTTGGTGATGTCGGCAATCTGCGTGGCGACCTGCCCACACTTGTTGACGTTGTCCAGGCAAATGATGCAGCGACCCTCGCGGTCGACCGCCGTGGCATAGTCGGTCGCCAGCTTCGTGTCGCAGCGGATTGCCTTGTTTAGCGCATGAATCACGTGCTCATAGGTGTGCGTCTCATCGTTGTACAGTACCGACAGGTACTGGTTCCCCTCGGCAACTAGTTTCGCCGCTTTCGATGTCAACTTTAGATCTTCAGGCACTTGTAGCTCAACAGGTAGCTCAACATCGGACCACTTGAGCAAAATGTAGCAGTAGTCGAGGACAAATTGAAACACTAGCTTCAATCGGGCAAGCAGCTGTTCAAACTCGATGGACGTCATGATGTTGCCCAGAAGAGAGACAAAAGCCTGAAAGCAAAGCCAAGGAGGTTAAACTTGTAAAAAGAATGAGACAAGGCAGATGGCCATACATTGTTGTTGAGCGTCTTATCGTGCAGCTTGCAGGTAGGGTGTTCGGTCCAGGCTTCTGTTTTGGGGGTGAAGAAAAATTAACACCACGTCAACTAGTGTGGTCAGCACTTGCCTTTGTCACCGCAATCACAGTATCCGGAACTAGATGGGCAGATTCGATAGCGGTGGTTCTTGTGTTGGCTAGATGAAAAACAAAATAAAGGACATGTTCTAGAAGAATCCCATTTCATCATCACTATATACCTGTTCTTGAAGCAGTCGACGCATAAAACACAAGTGCCGTCCATGCCACAGTCGCGACAGTTGTACACTGGCTCACCGCCCTTGAACACCTTCCCGCATAAGTCGGGAGGCGGACAAACATTCTTCAGCCGTTCAAGCAGTTCTTTGGGCTTCTCGATGCCAGTGATGAACCATTCGAGGGGCGTGATAAGACTTTCAATGCACGCCTTTTCATCGTAAACAGGATTCAAGTCGACTGAAGGTCGAAAGATGCTGGGAACTTCGACAGACCAGTGACGAAGCAGAAGACTGATCGTTTCGTGGCTTCCCTCGTGAGGATGATTCAGTGCAGCCTTTAGCAGCGTCTCTTTTAAAGCGTCTAAATTCATGTTCCTGAAAGGGGAGAAAAACGGTTGAAGTTTAAAAAGGGATGAAAAGAGTAGATTCAATTTCGAGTCATGACGCCATGCCACGACGTAATCGAACTGAAAGGAAACAACTGTACCACATACCAGAGTCTGGTAACCAGACGCCAAGTTCAAAATGTTTTGGTCTTTACGTGTAGCAAGCAGAGTGAAGCGGAGTTTGCAAGTGGCGCCATTTAATCCTACCCAATTCTATGCTGCGCGTTTTCAGTAAACTGTGGCTTTGCCAACGCATTTTGTCACAAGCAAGCTGTGAAGAATGCGAGTGGTCTGTTTACAAAAAAAATTGCGCCGCTCACGTTCTCGTCAGTCAAAATAGTTTAGAAGCGCGTTAATTTTTAATCCGTTGCTTCAATTTCAACGGAAAAGTGAAACAATTCCTGTCTCTGGCCTAAGTGCTTTGTATCGTTTATTCTCAAATCATGGATTTTGAAGATAAAGAGCAGGTGGAAAAGCTCTTTGATCGTCTTCACCGACTTGCCAAGGAGATGGCTTGTGGTTTTTGGTAAGTATCTAAGAGGTTTGTTTGTTTGGATTGTTGAAGTTAATTTTAACACCTGTATTTTTAGCGATAGAAACTTTGTTGATCCGAATTCATTAAAATGCTCTCACCGATTCTGCAGCAAATGCATCAGAGACCATAGGAAAAGCAAGGATCAGTGTCCGATCTGCAAAGAGCCAGTATTAAAGTAAATTACCGGTGATGCAATTATAGAACCTGTTGCTAATCAATTCCTTTCTTTTGTAGACAGCAAGTTGTACTCGTACAAACGAACATTAAACTGTTTCAGGCGGGCTTCCTTAAACTGTTAAAAGTTTTGGAGAAAAAGCATCTCAAGAATTCTCCTCGTATTCGAGTTATGCAGGACTTCATGTGTAATCGCGTACCATTTGCCCACGTGAAACGTCAATTCGAAGCCACAGATGATAAAGAAGGTATTTTAAACATGCCTTTTTTGCCATAAATTAATTGTGATTTGACTCTAGTTCCATACGAGCCAACTGAAAGTGACTTCAAAGAAAATCGTTTTCTCAATTTCAACACTTCATACGACCTAACTAGCAATAATAATATCGTAGAAGAAACAATGAACAAGTCTTTAGACAAAACATTCGACACATTGACCCCTTCAGCCGGAAGCGTTTCGATGCTCTCTGTCGACGAAACATTTTTTGGCGAAGAAAAAGATGACACTAAAGAATCACAAGTTAAACAATCAAAAGATAACGCCGGATCTATTGGCTTGCCAAAATGTGATTCTGACGATTCGGATGACTCGGAACCAATGGATGTGAGCGACGAAACGGATTCTGATTCAAGGTAAGAAATGTCTTTTAAAATTGTTTTTAAATATCTTGGTTTTTAGCTCGTCTGATGATGAAGAATTGGACAAAGACACGCAAAGTCAATATTCCGTGAAGAAACAACGCATCAATTATACACACACAAAGGAGGATCATTTTGATCGCGTCGTCAAAAATACAGAGAAAAAAGCTATTCATCCAAAGTCTCCTGAATATGGCGGAAGTCCAGAACTGGAAGGCGTTTTCGACTTTTTGAGTGATTCAGATGACTCGCTTAGTGATTTTTCTAAACTGTAAGCCATGCTCGCCAAATCTTTTTGATCAAAAAGTACTTTTCGGACTTGTCATTTTATTGATGCCAAAAACGCTATCAGAAATGTACTAAATATCATATGCAAGTTTTTCGCCGCACACTTTCGAGTTTATAATTATCAGGTACTATTTTCTCAAAATCTTTCGAGAAAGTTTCCCAACTACCCTCCAGCTGCTACAAAATGTACTTTTGTAAACACCAACCTTAACAGCTTGTCATCGGCTATCACCGCTGATTGGCGGTGATTTCCAAGGTTAGCCGCATCTAATCAATGACATCATTTCATGTTACCTCATATACTGTCTGCTGAGCGCACAGCGGATCAGCTTCTCATTTAAATTCATTTGTAAATACAAATTCAGCAAATACTGCCTTGTGTTACTTTGTTCGCGCATTGTTTTAGTACCAAAAATGAATCGTTTTATAAATAAAAGTGCCCTTCTCCGTTCAAAATCAGTCTTCTCATCGAGGGCCTTCTCGTCGGTGGCCGACAATGAAGTGTACATTGTGTCGGCCACCCGAACGCCGATCGGTTCATTTCGAAGTAAACTCTCCAAGTTCACAGCGCCTCAACTGGGCGCAATCGCCGTCAAATCGGCCGTGGAAAAGGCTGGCCTCAAGATCGATCGTGAGTATCCTGAGCCACACTGTCATCTTCATCATTGCTAATCATCTGTTTACCCTCGACAACAATGCACAGAAATCGATGAGCTGCAGATGGGCAATGTGATGCAGGCTGGCGTGGGCCAAGATCCAGCTCGTCAGGCGTCTCTAGGCGCCGGTCTGCCGCTCTCCCTGCCCACGACGACGGTCAACAAGGTCTGTGCCTCAGGCATGAAGACCATCATGCTGCTCTCCCAGGCAATTCAGGCCGGTCACATCAACGTGGCAGTGGCCGGTGGCTTCGAGTCCATGAGCAATGTGCCCTTCTACGTGCCAAGAGGTGACATTCCCTACGGCGGTCTGAAGATGCACGATGGCATCGTTCATGACGGCCTAACTGATGTCTACAACAAGTTTCACATGGGTATTTAGGAGAACTGAGCTTTTTTTATTTAGTTTCAACTAACAGCCATCATTTTACAGGGGTGTGCGGCGAAAAGACGGCCGCAAAGATGAACATTAGTCGGCAGGAGCAGGACGAGTACGCAGTAAACAGCTACAAGAAGAGTGCAGCTGCCGCTGCGGAGATGGCCAAGCTGGAGATCACTCCGGTGGAGATCCCTGCCACAAAGGCCTCCCCGGCCAGCTCCATGACCGAGGATGAAGAGTTTAAACGGGTCAACTTTGATAAGTTTTCCAAGCTGCCCACCGTCTTTCAAAAGGACAATGGCACCATCACTGCGGGCAATGCCAGCACTCGTAAGTGATTGAGCAGGAGTTGTTCTGGAGTCAGTGTCCTAACCGAAGTATACCATTTAGTGAATGACGGCGCCGCTGCAACGGTGATCGCCTCCGGCAAGGCGGTGAAGCAGCTGGGCCTGAAGCCACTGGCACGTATTGTCGGCTTCGCTGACGCCTCCGTCGATCCGGTGGACTTTCCCGTGGCGCCCGCCTATGCTGTTCCCAAGATTCTGGAGCGCACTGGCGTGAGCAAGGACCAGGTGGCCATGTGGGAGATTAATGAGGCATTCAGTGTGGTCGTACTGGCCAACATTAAGATGCTCGACATTGACCCGAAGAGGGTGAATGTCCAGGGGGGCGCCGTCAGCATCGGTCACCCACTGGGAATGTCCGGCGCACGCATTGTCAACAAGTTGGCGCTGCACCTAAAGACGGGCGAGTACGGCATGGCTAGCATCTGCAATGGAGGTGGCGGTGCGTCCGCTCTTCTCCTCCAAAAGCTCTAGAGTCCACTACCAAAGTAATAAAGACTGAAAATGTCTAACTGTTCTACAAAATGACGTTTCTTCCTTTGCACGCACTAATTTTTGTCTTTATAAATGACATCGTTTAAGATATCGAGAAACGGTTTATACTCGAAAACAGTTTTCCAGTAACTGGTAATACTGCGTAATTTAACTTTTAGGGATAGGCTCGACGGCGTATAAAATTAATTTTTGTTTTGTAAATATTTCTCTTCCGCTATGACTTGTTTTACGTTTTTTGTTGTGGTTTCACGGACATTCCAATGATGTTGCAGGGATGACTTTTGCAAGTTGGATAGATGATTAGCTATTTTGCTTTAATGTTAATAGTTTTATTCAAAGTTTAATTCCTATTGACATACAGTTTTAGGTAAAACAGTGATCTACTTTTATTTGCTTATTTATTCTTAAACATATTTTGATAGGATGCCTCTCGATAAGAAAAAAGTTACTCAAAAAGAACTAAAGCAAATTGCTGAACAATCCAGCTCTAGCTACACCGGTTCAACGATTAATGTCAAAAACCGAACTCGGGATAATGAGAGAAACGGCCGTGATGGAGTATTATACTATGCTAAAACTACAAACATGAGGAAAGCAGAAGATCGACTTTTAAAAAGTTCTGAATGGCCTGACAATCGTCAAAAACAAAGCAACCAAAAGGAAGATAAAGGGTACGTTTATGTTATTAAAGATAAAACGACTTCAACAGAAGACAACCTTTGCGATCAACTTGGCAAAATGAATATTAAATGAAGCATTACTATGACTCAACATCTACAAAATAAACCATTAAGCTTGGTTCGTCGTTCATTAGCTCAAGGTACTCGTCAGTGTTTTGTATGCGTGGACACTCTCTATAATAGATATTTCAAAATTATTATGGTGTTTTGCAAAATTTTTTTAGAAGATTACCTGATGTACTCAATGCATTTTGTTTTCAGAATTTCAGCATTATTTTTCTCTGCTAAATTCAAAAACTTTACCGCCGAATCAAAACTTATGTTTTGTTTTAAAATGTTTTCGCATTTGGCTTTTAATTTATTTATCTGGTACTGTAAAATTTAAGTTTTTTATTAATTGTTTGTATTTTTCAAAATAAAAAACTTTTACTTTTTGACTAATTTCCAACAACTGTTGAGCAAATGCTCGTATTTCTGAATTTTCGTTTTTCAAAAATTTTATCAATGCTTCAAAAACATCAGAGTTTATTCCTGACAACGGAATTTTACTATTAGGGGGAGCTTTCTTAATGATTGCAGAAAAAACTGGCGATTTAGTTGAAAGAAGTGCTTTATTAGCCAAAACTTCTGTGCCATCAACAATAAAAACTGTGTCACCAGACTGCTAGTTTGTTAGGTTAATTGATAAATTGTTAATTAAATTTAAATAAAATATACCTGTGTAGAGGAATTTGTTGTTTGGTTTGAGCTAGACGTTTGAGCAGATGCTCTGGGGTATTGTGTTGGAGACGGCGTCGACATTGCCTGCCTAGCAAACTGTGTTTCAGCAGGAGTATCTCTTATATTTACATCGCCACTTTTCACTTTTGAGTTGATATTAACCTGTGAGTTTTCAAAAGTTGGCCCTTTAGAGTTTATTTTTTGATTATTTACTGATGTTATGTTAATGTTTCCTAAAGCAAAAATAGTTTTAGTTTACGCAAAATCTAGTGGCTAGTAATTTTATGTTTCAGTACCATGCTTGACAGTAGACCCAATATTAATAACCGAGTTGCGAGAGCTTGTATTGTTCAAGTCAAAACCAGAAAAATTGTTGTTTGACGACATTTTTAAAAGTAAAAAGTGTAGGTTATCTGTTGAGTTAGTTTGAAGTAACAAGTAGTAAAGTTATAATTTGTTATAAACTCAAAGATAATGCAATCATAGACATGTTGCTAATGTTGCTAAGGTGAAAGATAAAGATAGCTGGGGTTGTACAATTTATTGCAAAAAATTGATTTAAATATTTTATTGTTTAACAGCACTGTTACAATATTTGTCATTTACAATTATTTAAGTTCTGGTAACTGGGGAACAGATTCACTCAGCCGAATGTACCAAGATTCTAGCTTCTTTGGCCACATGTCTTTGAAAAACATCTTCATTACGGGAACACTTGCTCCTAGAGAAATGTCCGCCAAAGTGATGTTTTCACCTGCAAAGAATTTTTGTTCACCGAGAAGCGATTCAAGAATGGATATTTTTTCTGCCAATTCATCCAAAGCCTCTTTTGATGCTTCTTTTTTAAAAATTAGAATGGGAATCTGCGTTTTATGTTTGTTAGAAAAACAGATATAAACTTAACAAAAAAAACTTACGAATGCTTTAGAAAGCGATGCATAATAACTTGACGCATCGAAAAAAAGAATTTTATCTACTTGAGCTCGAGCTTCCGGATTCTTAGGATAAATAGTGTTATCAGGAGCATATTTGTTAGCGAGGTACTGAAGAATGGCTCGACTTTCAAACATCGCAAAACCATTATCGACCAGAGTAGGCACTGTGTGACTTGGATTTAACTGATAAAAAAGTGGTTAATGTGTGCACTTTATATGTAAGTAAGACAAACCTTCAGGTATTCTGATGTTCGTGTTTCACCACCAAACAGGTCGACTTCTTTTACATTAATGCTGATGTTCAAATATTTGGCTGTAGCCAAAACCGCCTTTGATGGGGGACTGATTGGATGGTAGTACAAGTCAAGAGGCATTTTTGAAAACTCCGTTGTATGTTTGTTTTGTTAAAAAGTTAAGTTGTAGTTGGATAATTAGGTTTGAAAAATCAAACTTGTTTATATACCCAGTTTAGAAAATTACAATAAGCCACTGATCCATTGTACAACAATATGACAACACTCTTTATCAGAGTGCCTAGTAATAAAATCAATGGTACAAGTGTCGGTAATCGTACACATGTACCAATTGATAACATCATTTGGCAATGCAATATTTTTTCAAAAACAAAAAATACAACAAAGAAACTCCTAAAAGATTACTAAATTGATTCAATTTTAAGCATGATTTTGAATTTGTTACAGTTAAAATTATTTTATTTAATCATGTGTTGGCCTAGTGCTAAATTAAAAGTCCTTCATGTTGTTTTTATTGTTAAATAGCATGTCAAACTATAAAAATTTTTTATTTTTAATACATCTAGATAACTAAAAGTACAGGAGATAAATGAATATAAATGAAAAATAATTAAATCAAAGTTTATAAACCAAAATGAGTTTACTTCATTATTTTGTGTTTCTGGTGCTTTCACTAATACTTTTTCCTTCAATGAGCAGAAGCGATTGCTGTTATCCAATTACTTGGCCTGAATGGAAAGAAAACCCTTATAATTGTACCGACAAGGACCCAGATGATTTTTCTAACAAAATGGGACTATGTGCAGATTGCACCTGGGTCAAAGGATTCTACTGTGGAATTTCAAGTTGTAATGTTTTTGGCTGTGGTTGCACCTGCAGACAGGCAAAGGGTAAATAAGTAAAACTTTTAACGAAATGTTGTTTCTTTAACTGTTGTAAACTTTACAAAAATAAATCATTTATTGAAAAGCAAAAAAGTTTCACCAGCACCGAGCAACAAAGTTTGTGTGTCCACTCCAGACATGAGCTTCCTTGACATGGTCTCCCTCTTTCGGTGCGTGAATGACGGTGTTTGGTCCCGATACAATGACCACGTGGTAGTAGTTACCAGGGCTGCCGTAAAAGAGCAGATCTCCAGGCTGGTGTTGAGCAAAGGGAACGTGATGGCATCGTGAATCATTAGCTTGCGAAGTGGCTCCGTGTGCCAGCGTTTTTCCAGTCCCCTTGAACACAGCATAAAGTGACAGTCCTGAACAGTCAAAACCACCTTTTGTTTTTCCGTGAATGTCTCCTCCGCCAAAAATGTAAGGTAAACCTATTTGGGAACGCGCTGCAGCCACAATAGCTGCCCCACTGGCCTCTGATTGACCTAAAAATATGTACAAATCAGTTTAAAACTGCATCCTTTAAATATAAAATTAAAAACTCACCAATAGCAATGCAAGCAAACGTTACGAGAGCGATAATAAACTTCATTTTTGCTACAAGTTTGTTGTTGTTAAACTGTCTTGTGATGTTTTATTAAATAGCCCTTAGTTATATACCTCAACAGAATCTACTGTTTTAGCAAATCATGATGTTCAAAAGTAAAGCTATTAGTACTTTTAATTATTTCCTATCAATAACAACTTTTATCGCACATTCCTTTTGAGGATTTGCATTCTAATCGCATGTTTAGCTTAAAAATAAATAAATAACAATATCAACTCAAGCGTTTTATAATCAAGTTTATTTAATGTTCATCTTTAATTACAACTTATTATGATTTTATAGACAATGCTATAGATAAAAAAATTTATTTTTTGATTAAAAGAGGGTCCGATTCATTTGGCTCAAACTGCTTATCATCTAAATTGTCAGTTGATTTTCTGCGTGAATCTTGATCGTCAATTATTTGCACCTTAGAAACAACAGTATAAAAAATCAATAATTTAAAAAATAGACAAACTTACTTCGCAGTAAACAGTTAAAGTATTCTCAGGCAAAAATGCTTCATTTTGATCTAGCATATCGTTTTCAAAAAAGAATAATCCCAAATAGTCTTCCTTAAAAAATGGGTTTGTGTTTTCTCCAAAAGTATGTCTCAAAACTGTGCACAATTTTTAAAAAAATTAACAATAAAACTGCAAAAATACTAAATCTTACCTTTACAGTTTTTCTTTTCACCATTTTCATCAATGACTGAAATAAATAATTGAACCTGTATGTGTTCTCTTTTGCTGTTGCAGTACACCAAGTAAACAGCGCAGCTGTGGTCAGATTGACTTTGTGGGCATAATCTTAACCGAAATGTCAAATTTGTATTTCTTAAAGACTGAAATTTATCTGACTCTAAAACTTTTCTTGACTTGTTGACATCTAAAAAGTCGCTGTACTCATGTATTGCCCATGTGTGAATAACTGTATCTAAAATTCGAGGGTTGCCGTTAAAATATGATTCAACCAAAGGAATTTTAGTCAACAGTTGACAGCTTTCTTCATAATTGCTTTCTAGTTTTACGTCAGTTTTAGCATCAAAATAACTTTTCCAGATTTTAGTTACTGCGCTAAAACCAGTAATGGCTGTATTTAGGTTTTTGTT